AAACTGTCCACGTGACATACCTCCCAACTGTCCCTGATTTCGAGGCACTGTCCCTGATTTGGAAACAAGCCCCTCTTTCCTCCTCATTTGTCCCTCATTTTAGTCTGATCTGTATAGTTGTATAGAAAATGCACTTTTTAGCTTTCAAAAAGTTTTTCCTAGTGTGAAACCTTTCATCAGATTTCTAAATTGCTTCATTTGTAAAGACAAAAGCCAATATAAAGAGATAGTAATGGTAAGAAAAAGCACATGTGGTCTCAACTAATCATTTTTATGTATAATTTTCTTTTAAAGGGGCGTGGCAGGGGTGTGCCCTATGCCTACATACTTTTGCTAATAGGTGCCCCTCCAACCCACCTCAAAAGTTAGGAGGCATGCACATGGGGTTTATTTACTAAAGCTGAAGAGTGCAAAATCAGGCTCAGTTCTGCATAGGAACCAAATCAGGTTTTATTGCCAAAGCTTAATTGAATTAATGAGATTAGAAGCTGTTTGGTTCCTATGCAGAAGTGAGTGTGACTTTGCACTCTCTAGCTTTAGTAAATAAGTCCCATGTATTATTCTGCTGCTTCACTGAAAACAAGAAACAGGAAACTTTTATTTAAGACAGAGTTTAACCATAGATGCAGCTACAAACTTATGAACACTGCCATCTACTGGTTGAAGACTATACTTCTACTGAATACTGATGTAAAGTAGTTGTTGCACAAAATACACGAACCTTGTTTTCCAACAAATAATCGCTTTGTTCTGCCAGCATTGAAGGCTTCCCGCACCCCTTCCACCGCCAGCAGAACTAGTGCTGTGGGAGCAGTCAGTGTAGATGGGATAATTGAGAGAATTTCTTTCCTTCCACCCACAATTCCTCTATGGTTTGCCTTACTCTATCCATGTTTTAGCTGGAGATACACCTAATAATACCTGCGCTGAGTGGGAGAGGGCTGGCATATGGCACATGCAGAAGTAGTGAGCAAACATATACATTTCTGTACACAATGGCCTGGCTGTCTACCAGTATTCCGCATCCTGTACTGCAGATCAAAGATTATCTGACACGGCTGTGTTTAAACAGTGCAAACCATGGTACAAAGATCTCATTGTATAGCTATTAGCAGAGATCCTGCAGGCTGCCTCCACATGTCCCGGGAAAATCGGCGTCTGTAAACATATATGATATTACTGAATGCCGCATCTTCTTATGTAGGAAATGCACCACTGAACGACTGTGTGTTTGTTGCAAGGAAAAAAAAAAAAAAAAAATGCACCGCTGAACGGCTGTGTGTTAAAGAAAAAAAATAAAATAAAACAAGAAACCTACAACCTACTTTAAAGCGGCATTCCAGTTGAAAAAAAAAAAAATAAAAGTCAGCAGCTACACAAACTGTAGCTGCTGACATTTAAAATACTGACACTCACCTGTCCCTCGGTCCAGGAGTGTCTTCACCACCGCTGGTTTCACCAGCCTGGTCTTCTCTCCCCGATGCCGGCATCTTCAGTGTGCCCACTGCACATGTGCGAGAATCGCTGCACTTTGTGAATGGTCCTGTAGTCTTCTGGGACCTGTTATGTGCCCCAGAAGACTACGGGGAGGGGTGGGGGAGGACAACTACCACTTCTGATCGCCTTAGGCAGTCGCACCGGAAGTGGGAGCGGGTACCTGTCAAATTCAGGTACCCGCTCCCCCCCCCCGCTTCCCAAAGGTGTCAATCCTTAACGGGGGAGTGGGGGGACAAAAACCTTAAAGCAAAACCTCTCTGCTTTAAGTTGCCTATAATTAACAGCCAACACAGTGGGGTGGATTTACTAAAGACAAAAAGGCTATGTGCAGTTGCTCTGGAGTTTAGTAAATGAGGCAAAACTTCACTTTACAATGAATACCCAATCACAAGCAAGGAAAAATAAAAAAAAAAAACAGCATCTTTGCTTGCACATGATTGGATGATGGAAATCAGCAGAGTTTCCCATCCTTTACTAAGTTCTGGAGCAACTGCACATGCAAAGTGCGCAGTCTACTTGCCTTTAGTAAATCAACCCCCCTGATTCCTACCAGGACCCGGTGATTGACAGCTGCGAATGGCGGCGCAGGTAGAGCACACACGCCCCCTACCCACAAAGCACACACAGACAAAATAGTAGAACTGCACACAGTTAACCCTTTGATCACTTCAGATGTTAACCCCTTCCTGTCCAGTGCCATTAGTACAGCATCAATGCTTTTTATTAGCACTGATCACTGTATTAGTGTCACTGCTGATGTCAGTGACAGTTAGTCAGTTTCCCCCCACAGTGTTAGTATCCCCGCCATAGTCCCGCAGTCCCGCTATAAATCACTGATCACCACCATTACTAGTATTAAATAGAAAAAAATTCCATTATAAATACAGCCATTTATAGACATGTAGCAGAATACATTTTTGGCCTAAATTTATGACAAAATTTGATTTTAAAATTTTTTTTTACTTGATATGTTTTATAGCAAAAATATTGTTATATTTTCAAAATTGCCAGTGTTTTTTTGTTTATAGCGCAAAAAATAAAAACCGCAGAGGTGATCAAATACCACTGAAAAAGCTCTATTTGTGGGGGAAAAAAGGACATAAATTTCATTTGGGTACAGTGTTGCATGACCGCACAATTGTTAGTTAAAGTAACGCAGCGCCGTATCACAAGAAAAGGCCTGGTCAGGAAGGGGGGTAAATCCTCTGGAGGGCAAGTGGTTAAAATAATTGCTGGTAATGCATTTCTGTAGAGTCTTATTCAAGTACTTCCTTTTACGGACCGACAACGCTTTGTCCTTGTTTCCCAAAGTTGCTCCTGCTTTGTCACACGGGCTTTTGATAGAGATCACAGGTGGCCATTTTAATACACATCCTACAGGCATGGCCCAAAGTTGTAACCTTCAGGAAACCCATCTTAATAAATGCCATGCAGCCAGCGCTGGAGTGCATGTAGACAGGAAATGGCTGAAAAGATGCTGCAGGAGATCAGCAGCAGCAAGATGCAACAAAGAAAAAAATAAAAGTAAAAATAATATGTACAACAAATAATAATGCATAGTGATCTTCATCTGTAGGTCCTCGTTCAGGCGCTTCTTTTTATTGACTGACAATACCCTGTCCCTGTCCCTTTATATTGCTGCTGTGTGGTCACCTGGTCACACAGACTTCCTATATTTCAACACACCTGTCACAGGCATGATCCACTGTTGTCACCTCCAGCAATCCAGCTCTGAGAAATGTCAAGCGGTCAGTGCTGGAGGGCATGTAGATGGGAAGTAGCTGCAAAGAGGCTGCAGGAGGTCAGCTGCACTGAGATGTAACAAGGGAATGAAAACCGTGAAAAGAGAATTAAAAAGGCAATTGTTTATAACGCATGGTGCTTTAGCACACTAATGCAGGCCATAGATGGGTTGAAAATCGGCTGATTTTTCGGCCCAAAAAAAAATAGGCCGATTCTTTGGTAAAAAAAAAACTGGCCGTTTCTTCGTCTGAAAAAAAATCAGACGATTTTCGCACTGTTAATGGGTTAATTGGTTGGCCGTTTTTCTGGATTTTGGCACATTTTTTTGATCGGTAAAGTTGGAAACAAAATCGGCCGATTTTGCCAATCGGTCGATTTTCGTGGCAATGATGGGCAAATCGGCCGATCTTTTTACCAATAAAAAATCTGCGCATGAGCTGCGACCTGCAAGAAAAAGAAGAAAAAAAGAAGAAGAAGCAGAAGAAGAAAAAGAAGAAGAATTCCAGTCCGCTATTATATTTGACATGAAAAAGTATTGCGGTTGCAACAATGTATCTATTTGTAGCCAAATAAAACCATCTGTATCCGAAATGGATACAAATAGATACAATGTTGTAACCGCTATACTTTTTAATTTCAAATATAATAGCGGAGCTCTCTGCAGGGCACAGAAGTAGTTAAATGCCGGCCGTAGACGGGGCGAAAATCGGCCATTTTTTTATCGTTGGTGGTAACGTCGACCTTTTGAATGACCGATTTTTCGTTTTTTTTTTATTAAAAAAATGGCCTGCATAAGGGATCTATATTTAAAAAGATCTCTGTGCGAACGTTAAAGCATTACCTAAAAGCAAAACACAGCTGTCATTATTATTATACAGGATTTATACAGCGCCAGCAGTTTGCACAGTACTTTACAATATAAAGGGAGACAGTACAGTTACAATACAATAACATATAAGAGGGTTAAGAATCATGAATAATCCTTGTAAATGAATGTTTATTTGCTATGATCGTAGCTCCATCTAGTGGCCATAATGTGGTATTTTCCTGAAATGCCACAGTCAGGAAAATACCACATTATGGCCACTAGATGGAGCTGACAATCATGGATAATAAATGATGATGATTATTCATGCCGGCTGCACAAATGCTTGAGACATTCATACAGAAAACTATTTTATATAAATAGAGGCCTGTTATTATGGTTTTCATCTTCTGTAATGACTATAACCCTCATTAAATGTAACATTTTATTCTGGTTGAGGGCTGCAAGGGGGATAGAAGAAGGGTCCCAAAAACATCGGGCTAACCTGCTTGTTATAGTGAGAGAAGGACAGAGTGAACAGTCCAGGGTGAAGGACGGAGACTTCCAAACTTCTCTTTCGGCAAACAGCTTGCTATGTTTGCTGTTGATAGCGAGGAATGTCTCCGTCTAATCAATGTCATCTGAAACGTAACACAGACAGAGCTACCGTACCAGCAGAGATTAGGGCCATAATGGCCATCGAGGGACAACTATTTCAGTGTTTGTTTTTATTGATTCCATCAGAATTTTTATTCATACTATGATTATTTTCAAAAGTGACCATGTGAGGTGTTCTTTGGAATTTGGTAGTGGATAAAAGAAATGTCAGATTATGATATAGAAAGGGCCAGTTTACTGTCCTTCAGACATAAGGGGGAGGGGCCTGTAATCAATGGGAGTAAAATATGTCCTGGTATCAGTGGGAGGAATAGTGCCATGTCATTGGGAGGAATAGTGCCCTATCATTGGTGTCAGTGGGAAAAAGTAGTGTCCCATCAATGGTGTTAATGGGAGGAATAGTACCCCATCATTGGTGTCAGTTAGAGGAATAGTGCCCCCTTTGGTGTCAGTGCGAGGAATAGTGCCAGTTGGAGACAGTTGGAAAAATAGCACCCAATCTTTGGTATCAGTGGGAGGAATAATGTCCCATCATTTAGGGCAGTGGGAGGAAAATTGCACTATCATTGGTATTAGTGGGGGGAATAGTGCCCTATCATTGGTCTCAGTGCGAGGAATAGTGCCCCATCATTGGTGTCAGTGGGAGGAATTGTGTCCTATCATTGGCATTAGCGAGGAGGAATAGTGCCTCATCATTGGTCTCAGTGCGAGGAATAGTACCCTATCATTGGTGTCAGTGGGAGAAATTGTGTCCTATCATTGGTGTCAGTGGGATAAATAGTACCCCATTGTTGGTGTCAGTGGGAGGAATAGTGCCCTATTGTTGGTGTCAGTGGGAGGAATAGTGTCCTTTCATTAGTGTCAGTGGGAGGAATAGTGCCTCATCATTGGTGTCAGTGGGTGGAATAGTCAGTGGGAGGAATAGTGCCTCATCATTGATATCAGTAGGAGGAATAGTCCCCCATCATTGGTGTCAGTGGAAGGAATAGTGACCTATCATTAGTGTTAGTGGGAGGAATAGTGTCCTATCATTGGTGTCAGTGGGAGGAATAATACTCCATCATTGGTATTAGTGGGGGGGAATAGTGTTCCATCATTGGTGTCAATGCGAGGAATATTGTTCCATCATTGGTATCAGTGGGAGGAATAGTGCCCTATCATTGGTGTCAGTGGGAGGAATAGTGTCCTATCATTGGTGTCAGTGGGAGGAATAGTGCCCTATTATTGCTATAAGTGTTAGGAATTGTGCCCCATCATTGGTATTAGTTAGAGGAATAGTGTGCACCTTTGTTGTCAGTGGGAGGTATAGTGTCCCATCATTGGTGTCAGTGAGTGGAATAAAGTCCCAAAGACCAGATAAAAGCAAGCAAAGGGCTGTATCTGGCCCCAGGGCTGCAGTTTGGTGACCACTGATCTAAACGATGCTGAAAAGTCAGTGAGGGGCCAGCAGTCTCATTGATAGGCTGTCAGTATCATAATCTGTAATATTTTGTATTCCGATCTTTTGTCTTTCTTACGTTTTTTTTTGGTTTTTTTTTTATGTCTCTGACCATTGTGTTTTTCTTTCAGTGGTTTGTCTACCTGTTCCTGATGAAATGCAGCATAACCATCTCCACCATAGTTCTCCTTATCCTCATCATCACCTTCCACGTCAAGGAGTTCCAGGTACTAAAATTCAGTATTTTACCAACACCTCCAGCCAGAACGACTGTTTTTGGGTGGAGAGGCCAGGTTACATCTGCAGTTCTGAAGATCCAGCATTGAGCCTTTCAACAACAGCCAGGAGGCCACAATCTGGAGTGCTGCAAACATGACATGCATCTTGATTCACGTAGGCAAAGGTGTCATTATGTTCCTTTTTTTTTTTTTTTTAAAGTTCTGGATAGAGCGGAGAGGGGTTAAAGCCCATGTCAGGTTTTTGCTGGTGTCTGCGTTCCCATTATGGAGATTCACCCTCTCCATATGTCCTGGTAACCAATTATCACTGAGAGTGAAAAAAAATCCCACATTTTGGATTGTCCCCAGAACAGGAATTATCTTCCAATGGGGACAACCAGGGAGTCAGTTTCTTTGTTGTGACTATGAGACAGGAAGTGAGGAGGAATCTCCCCAATGGGACACAGATGGCAAAAAAATGGTTATAATCCTCAGTGACTATCAAAAATGAGAAACAAAAGTTTTGCTTTTAGTTCTACTTTAAACACATAATTTGTAATAGGGGGAGTGGAGCATGCAATACCAAGATGCAACATGTCTTTTACCAGAGTCACAGTGTGATTTCTCACTAAGTTGTTACATACTGACTAGTAAATAATAGTAGTATAATGTTATGATCTGTGCTGACTTTTACTAGTAATTTCCTTAAAATAATTATTTTGTCTCATTTAAAATGTTGCTTCCTGCTCTCCCACTGCAGTGCTCGGTGCTGGCATAGCTGAGTAACAGCCACACCCCTCAGCACAAGTGTCCACACAGAGAGGGGGCGTGTATGACCATGCCTGTTACTGAGAGCTGATTACTAAGAGCACTAGGACAGTCAGAATTTAGACTTCATGCATAACTGCTATAACAGAAGAGCATAGGCTGTTAATCAATGTTTATCTGACTTCCTATCTATTTCTGTGACTTGGGCTTCAAAATATGTAAAATGTGTCTATATTATTATGATATAACATGATATAATAATATAATACAATAGAATATATAATGTTGTAATATAATAAAATATAATATGATATAAAATATAAATAAAATACGATATAATATAATAGGATATAACATGATATAATAATATAATACAATAAAATATATAATGTTGTAAAATAATATAATATGATATATTTAAATAAAATATAATATAATATAATATAGCATGATATAATACTATAATACAATAAAATTAAATATATTTTTGTAATATAATACAATTTAATATGATATAATAAAATACAGTATAACATAATGTGTAATATAACATGATATAATACTATCATACAGTAAAAAATAATATAATAGAATAATTATTTATTTCAGGTACTTCTATAGTGCCATCAATTTACACAGCACTTTACATATATATTGTGAATTCACATCAGTCCCTAACCCTCAAGGGGCATACAATCTAAGGTCCCTAACTCACATTCATACATACACATAGGGTATACATACATACACTAGGGTCAATTTAGGTAATTAACCTACCAGCATGTCTTTGGAGTGTGGGAGGAAACAGGAGTACCCGGAGGAAACCCACGCAGGCACAGGGAGAACATGCAAACTCCAACCAGGTGGTGCCGTTGTTGGGACTCAAACCAAAGACCCTAGTACTGCCAGGCGGAAGTGCTAACCATTTACCCACTGTGCTGCCCCAGAATAGAATATAATATGAAATAAATAATAATATAATATTATACTATAATACAGCGGTTCTCAACCTGGGGGTCGCGACCCCTTTGGGGGTCGAACGACCATTTCCCAGGGGTCGCCTAAGACCATCGGAAAACACATATTTCCGATGGTCTTAGGAACCGAGACACCGCTGCAGTCTCCGGCGATGTGTGGGCGGGATGATACGCTGCTGTCACCTGGCCACACCTCCGGGATCGCTCAGCAGCTCCCGCCTCCTCGCTGCTGATTGGCCACCGGAACTGTAGCTCAGGAGAGGCACACAGGCGGCCAATCACCGGCGAGGAGGTGGAGCTTGGAGAGGAGGAGCCGAGCGGCAGCGCGCGTACATCAAAGAAGACCGAGGGAGCTGCCGGAGCGAGTGAAGAGGAGAGCGGCCAGAGAAGGAAGACAGCTGACAGGTAAGTGAGAGAGCGAGCCCAGGCTGGAGCAGGGGTCAGCAAAGTAAGTATCATTGGTGTCAGTGGGAGGAATAGTGCCCCATCATTTGTGTCACTAATACCAACGATGGGGCACTATTCCTCCCCCCACTGACACCAACGATGGGGCACTATTCCTCCCCCCACTGACACCAACGATGGGGCACTATTCCTCCCCCCACTGACACCAACGATGGGGCACTATTCCTCCCCCAACTGACACCAACGATGGGGCACTATTCCTCCCCCCACTGACACCAACGATGGGGCACTATTCCTCCCCCCACTGACACCAACGATGTGGCACTATTCCTCCCCCCACTGACACCAACGATGGGGCACTATTCCTCCCCCCACTGACACCAACGATGGGGCACTATTCCTCCCCCCACTGACACCAACGATGGGGCACTATTCCTCCCCCCACTGACACCAACGATGGGGCACTATTCCTCCCCCCACTGACACCAACGATGGGGCAGTATTCCTCCCCCCACTGACACCAACGATGGGGCACTATTCCTCCCCCCACTGACACCAACGATGGGGCACTATTCCTCCCCCCACTGACACCAACGATGGGGCACTATTTCCCCCCCCCCCCCTGACCCCAATGATGGGGCACTATTCTCCCCTCCACCACACTGACATCAATGATGGGGCACTATTCCTCCCACTGACACCAATGATGGGGCACTATTCCTCCCCCCACTGACACCAACGATGGGACACTATTTCCCCCCCCCCCCCCCTGACACCAGCGATGGGACACTATTCCCCCCCCCCCCCACTGACACCAACGATGGGGGCACTATTCCTCCCCCCACTGACACCAACGATGGGGCAGTATTCCTCCCCCCACTGACACCAACGATGGGGCACTATTCCTCCCCCCACTGACACCAACGATGGGGCACTATTCCTCCCCCCACTGACACCAACGATGGGGCACTATTTCCCCCCCCCCCTGACCCCAATGATGGGGCACTATTCTCCCCTCCACCACACTGACATCAATGATGGGGCACTATTCCCTCCACTGACACCAATGATGTGGCACTATTCCTCCCACTGACACCAGTGATGGGGCACTACTCCCCCCACTGACACCAGTGATGGGGCACTATTCCTCCCACTGACACCAGTGATGGGGCACTATTCCTCCCACTGACACCAATGATGGGGCACTACTCCCCCCACTGACACCAATGATGGGGCACTACTCCCCCCCCCACTGACACCAATGATGGGGCACTACTCCCCCCACTGACACCAATGATGGGGCACTATTCCTCCCACTGACACCAATGATGTGGCACTATTCCTCCCACTGACACCAGTGATGGGGCACTACTCCCCCCCACTGACACCAGTGATGGAGCACTACTCCCCCCACTGACACCAATGATGGGGCACTACTCCCCCCACTGACACCAATGATGGGGCACTACTCCCCCCACTGACACCAATGATGGGGCACTACTCCTCCCACTGACACCAATGATGGGGCACTATTCCTCCCACTGACACCAATGATGGGGCACTACTCCTCCCACTGACACCAATGATGTGGCACTATTCCTCCCACTGACACCAGTGATGGGGCACTACTCCTCCCACTGACACCAGTGATGGGGCACTACTCCCCCCACTGACACCAATGATGGGGCACTACTCCCCCCACTGACACCAATGATGGGGCACTATTCCTCCCACTGACACCAACGATGGGGCACTATTCTCTCCCACTGACTCCAACGATGGGGCACTATTCCTCCCACTGACACCAACGATGGGGCACTATTCCTCCCACTGACACCAACGATGGGGCACTATTCCTCCCACTGACACCAACGATGGGGCACTATTCCTCCCACTGACACCAACGATGGGGCACTATTCCTCCCACTGACACCAACATGGGGCACTATTCCTCCCACTGACACCAACGATGGGG